GTGATTGGACATCAATGGAGTCGTTGCTCACCAGATATTCGTAGGCGGACTCTAGAGCTACTTTTCACGTTGGCGCAATACCAGGTGACGATTCATCCAAGAGGATATTATGTTTACCAGGAAGATATACTCTCTGCAGCCAAACTTGTCCAGAGTTGGAAAGATATAAATTGGGCTATATCAGAGTTTCTTCCTCTGAAATCAACAACCTCTAACAGCTTGTGTCAGCATATTAGCAGACTGCAGCCGAAGCAAATAGATATTGACATCATTGGAGTTGTTGGAGATACTGTCCTGAGAAGTGCGGCATGGATAAAAGGCCTGAATGCCTCTAATGTAGAAATGTATGACTGTGGCTTTGTCTTTGCTAAGGTCAGAAACTGTGATCAGGTTCATTGTGTTCCATGTTGCAGGGTCCTTGCCAGGCGCTATACCCCTGGAGACGAGAGCATTGGGGGCTATTTTATGGCCCGAGGGTCCTCGAACGATCACGCTGTTACATGGAGATATTGGATTCCAGTTACGATTGAGGAAAGTGAACATGCAACGCCCTCGCCTGAGGAAGAACATCAGTACTGGGTGGAACTTGATGCAGGATTACGGGTAGTAGGCCAGCGACATGAAGGCAAGTTGCGAAATCAGGATGAGTTACAAAATTACTTGCAGGCTGGTATGTTAAATATCAGTCTGTCCCATGCACAAGAAGTTTTAGATTGTACCAACATCGCAAGAGAGGCTACTAAGGGACTTCGAGAATGGGTGATGTCTGCTTATACGATTTGATGGCACAGAATGAGGATTTACCGTCATTCACCGGAACGCGACGTACACCACGTCCGATGCGCCATGGGGAAAGAAAAGCAAAGGGGTGTGGTTCGGGTAGTTCAAACGATGGGGGCGAAGGAAACAAGAGCTCGATTTTGAAGCCCGATATGATATTTGGTTTAGTCGGCATAGGGAAAGGAATGGCGGTTACTAGCCTATTATTGGTCGAACCATTCAACGGTCGAGGCTCTCAAGCTATCATGAAGGCCCGCCATGATGCGCAGCACCATCTCTTGCTCCACCTGTTCAATCCGTCGTTAACCACGCCATAGCCCATAGGGCGGCACGCGAGTAATGATATTAAAAAAACAAAAAATCCGTCGTTAGAATGTTGCTACCCAAGACTGTTCAAAGGGAAAATGCTTAGTTCCTAATCATTTCTGCTACTTTATTTGGATTTCAACGTTATGTTGCTTATGTGTATTGAATCCTTGCTTACGCATTTGCTCTACCAGGCGAGGATGCTATTTCTGTATTTCACTTCAGGTGGCGTATCATGTGTCGGCGATTTGGGGAGATTTGGCTCAGTTAGCATCTTTTGTCGGGATTCTTGAGATTGGCAACTGTTCGTGGCAGTTGGAGAAGCTGGGTGAAAACAGGATAGTCTGATCGAAAATACATAGGAGTTGGCTGAAGCTTAAGTAAGCGAAAGCAACAATCTTTCTCATCAACTATCTGCTTACATTTTTTTTTTATTTTATTTTTTTTTATTTCATTAATCGCGTGCCGCCCTAAGGGCTATGGCGATGTTTAAGTACATAACTGATAATATAAGATAAAGAAAAGAAAATAAGAGAAAATTCAGGTAAGAGTTTATCTGCTTACAGAAAATCGTATGTCGTTACAGATTGCGTTTTTCATGATGACGGACGGTACGTCGTTACCCATAAACCCTGAACCTCTGCACCCTGCTGGCGCTTCCCCATCCGATAGGGCGGTATATTAAAGAAAAATTCTATTCTGGTAATTGAGATATGTATTGTCCACGTGCGGTCTGTTTTCGTGTACAACCTGAGTGGGACGGTGCGGTATGTTGCGTTGTAGTGCCTTAGAGTAGTTATATACACCTCGCCATAGCCCGTAGGGCGGCACGCGAGCAATGGATTAAAAAAAAAAAAATAGCAGTGTTAAGTCATGTAACGAAGTTAGTTGAGGGACCTTTGTCTGCTCCTGGTGAATTTGTTCGATTCTTCAATATGATATTTCACTGCGGTGTAAATTACAACACCCTTTCCGGTATATCTGGACACCATTTGAAGTGTCCTCATACAAGAAGATGACACCCGCGAAATTGACCCTCCGCCGGCGGTGTAGAGGTGATACCCGACACTTTGCACTACAGTGCACATTGGAATAATGAAAATATTTCTATGAAAATCTAAAGAAATATATTAAAGCTCAACAGATCTCGACAGAATAATCAAATTGAAGTATCCATTGTCTTCCTCTTCGGCCACGCTAACCCAGCTTGCCTTCTGTCCACGCCTTGACAGGTTTTCAACATCTCAAACTCCCCTCCTTGAGCCCATTCCTCGCCTCCAGGTTCAAATGCAAAAAATCCCCATTATCCTCTTCCGTATTTAACAAATGCACCTCCAAAGGCGTCGTCGTCTCCCCATCCTCGTCCAATGTAAATGTTCCACTAGCCTCCCCACCCAAATCACCTGTATCTTCACTTGTCCCTTCATACAACTTCAAACTCCAGTCGACCCTAACCGACACACTTACAGGATCGAAATTCAACATCAGTGTCAAGAGGGAAAGGACCCCGCCGCCGAACCCCTGCGTCCACTTCACCTCGCGAGTCATCGAGAATGGGTTCACGCAAGCCCTGCCATGGCGAACAGCTGCAAGTGGGGTCACGTGAAATAAAAAAAAAAGGGGAAGGGTTCACGCAAACGGAATCAGGAACCCATACGAAGTTTTCATGTCGGTCGTCCGCTAAATTCTCGTCATGGATCGCAAGCGTGGCGGAGAAAGTGATCTCGCGGAACCACCTGGGTGTGATGCTGAAGCTGTGGAAGAAGTTGAGAATTTCTGGCGTCGCTTCAATGGGACTGGGACGAAATGGTTCCCTGGAGTCGCCAACAGACTCTTTGTCGGTGTTGTCATTTGTCGCGCTCTTGCTAGGCCAGTCATGGACCCCGTTAGTAATTTCGTAATGCCGAACCTCAACCCTTCAGTACACTGGAGCCACTGATGCATGACAACTATCTGTCCAAAAAGGTCTTCCCCGGGCTGCCACCGTCCATTACAGTCTTGTTGTAGTGCGTGCACTTATTCTTGGCCGCCCACCACTTGGCCCACTGCTGTATGTCGGGAAGCCAACTGCCCTCCCACTTGTTGGCGCCGTGATACGGAACCAATCTGTCTGCAGTTCCATGGAAGTTGATGACGGGCATAGGATGATTAAACGCGCACACCTTATTGATATCCGCCTCCGGCTTCAGCCGATTCGGATCCGGATTCACAAAAGGACCCGCGACGGGAGCAATGGCGGCGAAGCGCTCAGGCATCGTGCACGCAAGGTGGTTCACGAAACCGGCGCCGCTGGACTTGCCAGTGATATACACCCTGTCCCAACGGATGCCGTTGCCGTACTCCACCCAGAGCCTGTCCATCATGTCGCGCACGAAAAGCTTGTCGTCGCGGTACCGCGGTGGAAATGGGGGATAGTCATCGTCCTGGTCGATGGGAAGTGCGTACGCTGCAGGCTCCCAGGCTCGCTTGGGCACGCCGGGCTGGGAGTTCGTCGCGCTGCCTTTCATGCCGAATGGGACCACAACGATGGCGCAGACAGATTTTGAGTCGAGGCTGCTGATGTTAGTCATGCGGGCCGCGCTGGCGCCCCGCCCGTGGAAGGCGAAGATGAGCGGGAACCGAGTCATGCCGGGGCATGCAGTCTCATAACCGCGGCCGGAGGGGCCTGGGGCATATACCTTGTAGCGGCGTTCGGCACCGTTAGAGGTGATGTACCCGTCGTAGGCAACGCGTTCGTCGGGCCATGCAAATGTGGCTGTACCTAACAGGAGGAGGAGGAAGAGCTTGAAGAAAAGGTCTTCGAGGTCCATCTTGTATCGTGACAAATGTGCTGTGAACTCCAGTTCAATACAGTGTGGAATTTACGGCAACTTGGAAGGCCAGTTGGTTCAGCTCTAGATTACTGCATAGTTGATAGCTGTAGGGCACACAATTCGCCAAGCCTTCGACACAAGGCTGATATAGCTAGTAATTTCAACTTCCGCAGCCTCACCCCACTTTCGCGCTCACTTTCCCCAATTTGGGCGTGAGTGCTGACACTCATTGTAGCAGGGACAGGTGGCAGCCATCTACAGAGTAGATTCAGGCAAACAATCCATGCACAACCGAAGTCATGATCCACATCCTATTTCGACTAGTCAGAACCGAACGTATGAGATACGCTATTCTGGTTGGATGTTGTATACACCTGACGTTTTTCCACTCAGAAACATGGCTAGCTAGGCAGAATCAAGCACTTGGAAGGTTGCGCAAATCCCAATGACCAGCCAAACCATGAGTACGTAACAGAGTGCTCTGATGCGCAGCCTCGCGCACGCATGAGCTTCACAAAAAATGAGGCGGGGAAATTCGATATTAACATGTGCAAGTATTCGTAAAAACCATGCTGCATAGTTGACTGAGCCAAAGCGAGCAGTCAAGCAATCGCGAAACATTAATCAACAGGTAGCTCAGCCCTAGGAAAGACTTGTGTCTCTGTGTAACGTCGCAATCTGTTCAAGGCTGTCACAGCAAGCGCTGTCTACTTTGGGGCACGGATTATTGTTGGTTGTGCAAGATTAGAGAATCACGCGGTGAACAACTTGATTAACTTCCTTGCCTACTGACGTAATCTTTTGGTACTATCACCGAAGTGGCAGGAGTGGAGATGAAGTCCAGATTGACTGTGCAGACTTGACAAAGGACAACGCATAGGGCAGAGCACTTTGTCATCTCATTACGGTGCTGCCTACATTTATATTTTAATTTAGTGTTTGATAACTTTGAAAGAGAGGGGTCCAACTACCCTGGAATTGTTATTTCGACGGGCACTAATAAATCAAGTTGCATTTTTTTTTTTTTTTTTTTCCCTGAGATTTCACGTAACCCCGCTTGCAGCTGTTCGCCATGGCAGGGCAATCAAGTTGCATGGCTCAAGTTGCATGGCTAAATCGGTAAAAAAAAAAAAGGATCCTTCTAATAAGGTGAGGGTTGTGAGTTCGAGTCTCACTGTGACTATTAGTTCTTCAAGTAAACGAATACTGCTTTCTAGTTTTAGCTGTCCTTTCCTTCATTACCCCCAATGATAAAATAACCAAAACAGTTCCCAATGTATCACCTCCTCCCGTCCTGTAATGATATTCCTCACACACAAGCACTTTCTCAACCTTTAGCAGCTTCCAGTCCACTTTCTACATCTCCTCTCTCCCTAGGCATGTTGAGACAAGACTCAAATAAACCTCGATGCAGCGCATCAATGCTATCTCCTACTATTCAAATTGCGCATTAGTGTCTTGTGCGTCTGTCGAGATGAGAGAGATTTAATAAAAGGCAATACTCTGTGAACGTAGATGGAGAAGTTTAGCTTGTCGTTGGGAGCTAATGTATAACTGTACTGAGTTGAGAACAGCATAGGTGGTGGTGAGTACGTAGGTTGATATTTATGTCAATTCCTTTCACAAGTTCTACCAAGACGAGACAGATTGGTCCAATAAAGAAGATCATGCCCAGTGGACCAGTCCAATAAGAATGTTGGAAAGGGACTGGTAACTTCGACGAATCAGAGCAGTGTTTATATAGGAACACAGAATAACCAGTGCCTGAACCAGTAATTTATAAAGTTAAAAGAAAGTATATATATAAGAAAGTAGATAAAGATAAAAAACTGATATAGATAACTCTAAAACATCTGATGCTATCTCTGATACCTCTTTGAATACTATAGTTGTTTAAATACTACTTCTACCTACAAGATATTAGCTTTTTCCTGCTCTGCATCCACTATCTAGACTCACAAAAGCATCTACTACAATGGCTGTAAGACTCAGGAAATGATTCTGCCAAAGTTAGACCTCTAAGTATCTGTCCTTCCCACATAGGTATGTTGCTAAAATCATCCCACCTGAAAAATTTCTGTGTGCTTAAACAAGGTTTGAAATAGGTTTCTACACGTATCTAGATGCTTTGAACTTAATTTGAACTAAATTGAATAAGTCGCTGAATTTTGAGAAGTCATTTATTAGTCACCGGAAAGTGCGCAATAGCCCGGTTATGCGCAATATCCCGGTAGAACACAGTAATGAGTAGCAAGGGACGAGACCGGGATAGAGCGAATGGAGGCGAGAGCCCAGATGCCGAGAGAGAGAGATAGGCTGGGTCTAAGATACAGACCACTGGAGGACCTAGGCGGACAGATCACGGTGCTAGCGAGCCTCTTGGGAGGCAAGGATATAAGATACTGGCGGTACAGGATAGGAGGGAAAAGAATTCGGTGTTCAGATGGTGCGGGGAGAATGAAGAGACAGCAGGGCATGTCTGGAACGAATGCAGAGTATGGAGGCGGAGATGGCCGGAGGAGTAGAGGCAGTGGAAGGCCCAAGGGCGAGAGAGATCCCCTGGCGGAGATGCTGGAGTGGGCTGGCGGGCAGTTTCTATATTTTGCAACTCACTTTCTTAGGTCTACTAACTTCCACGGAGCGGAAAGAGCGGGGGATTCCTTTTCTTTCTCTTTTCTCTTGTTCTTTCCTCTTCACTTCCATATGTAACTAATCCCGCCATAGCCCGAAGGGCGGCATGCGAGTAATGACAATTAAAAAAAAAAAAAAAAAAAAAAAAAGAGTAGAAGGACTGTAAGGAAACGCAATTCGAGCCTATACGAGCTGCTTCATTTCCAAAGTGGAAACGTACTAACGTCACTAGACGGGTCCGGGAACCGGCGCACTTTCGGAACCGGTGGAATGAAGGCTCAACAGCATCCATTGTCTTGCATAGGGTACCGGTATCTAGAACTGGCGGAACGAGGTCTCAAGGGCAGTCTCAATGGTCAAATGTCGAGAAAGGGTTATAAAAGAAAAGTAGTCATTTGTCCTGTCTGCCCGTGTCTGGTCTGTCTGTCTGTCCATGATGTTCTCATACAGTCCTATCTACATACAGTTTATAGGCCACCTTCGCCTTCCAACTGAGCCTATATATCCACATCTCGCTTCTTAAATATGAACTCGCTTCCTTAATATATGTATGCATCAACATATGGCCTTACCGATAAGTACCGCTCCAAGCCGCGTTGGCCTTATTCTTCCCATCGGTACTGTGGTCACCACCACACTGGAAATGCACCGGATCCCGGTCAGTGATGTTACAGAAGTTTTAAAATTACCCTCGGTTAGTTACCAGCATACCATCTCGTCATAGCCAGGCGGGGCTGCACACGAGTAGTGAACATTAAAAAGAAAAAATACATACATAAATAAATAAATAAGTAGGTGAAATAAAATCCTACCTATATACTGTAACTGTCTATAGCAATGACATGTTAGTACTACTAAATCAATGCGGTTTCTGAGCAGTATAGTATCTTTTTATTAATCTCACATAACCCCGCTTGCAGCTGTTCGCCATGGCACGGTCCCTGGACCGAAGTCCTTATGGCCCGGAGACAGGCACCTAAAAACAAACAACTCACTATATACACCGACATTCAAAAGGGAATAGAGGAAATAAAACCCATGAGACAACCCGCTCCTCCAAAAACGAAAGATTACATCGTCAAGTCCATTTCCTCCACATCCCTCCCCTTCCCCTTTCTGTCCACCTTTGAATTTCTGTCCCAGTCATACAGGCACGAATCGCACCACTTGCCTGACAACCTTACCTTCGCTAGTGTTTGGCTATCCGATTCCACCTCCCTCTCTAGGTAGATGACAACCAGTATAGTATTTTGAATTGGATTTAATGAGGTGGTCGGTACCACAGCTATTGTGTGGTTGTACGTACGAAATCTATCTTTTGAGCGCAGTCGCTTTGGATATAATTGATGTATATTCACGCAAAAAAGTGGGGTTATGTACGTCCTGGCTGCTTGTGCAGCAGGGTGGTGGAAGCAGTATCGAAGATGGCACTGGTGCCTTTTGCTATTGTCGCGTGGTTCCTACGGACAGCTCGTCCCTGCCTCAATCCTATCACTGCAGAGAAATGCGGCACAAATTCTTCGTATACAGCAAGTTGGATCTTGCACACCCGATTTTTTTTTTTTTTTTTTTTTTTTTTATATCACATGACCCCGCGTGCGGCTGCTCGCCAAGGCAGGGCCCCTGGGTCTTCGACCCTCAAAGCCCGGAGGCAGGCTTTTCTACCTACTTCTTCCCCCGCCATCTCTACAAACGAAATCCTCGACCCCTCCCCGCCCCACCTCCTCGAGGCAATAAAAATAGCTACATCTTTCTTCCCCCGCCACCTTCGAACAAACGAAAAAACGCCCCCTCCCCTACACCTTCAGCGATCCAAAGAACTCCCCTAGCACGTTCACCACCTCCCCGTTCTCCTGCTCTACCCTCCATTTCTTATCATCGATATCCTCCACCTTCCCCATCCTTCCAGGTACTCCACCTCCTCACACCTGAACGCCAGGTGGTCCGCTGTTTGTTTTTCCCCGCACCCACATACACTCCCCTCCATCGCTTTCCCAATCCCCACTTCCCACTCTTTCCCCATCCCCTTTCCCGTTCTCAACCTCGTGAACGCCGTTGCCGCTCCCCTTCTCCACTCCATCACCACGCCCCCCCCATACCCCCTTTCTTTCCTCTCCGCCGCGCGCAGTCGTTTCCACTTCTGCCGCAGCCCCCCTTCTGTCACCACCGACCTTCCTACTCTGTCCGCCGCCTTCTTTGCTTCGCCATCTGCCGCCTCATTCCCGGCGATGCCGATGTGTGCTTTCACCCACATCAACTTGACGTCCCCCCTTTCCTCCTCCTTTCTGCTATTTCGTTCACCACCTTCTTCAGGTCCCCGGTTCGTGCTTTCCCCAGTCTCCCCGCCTTCTTCACCGCCGCGATTGCTGCCTGTGAATCAGTTAGGATGACCACGTTTGCCGGTGCCGATATTGCCTTTCCTTTTCTATCCCCTTTCTTTCTCATCCCCTTCATCTCCCCGTCCCACACCGTCGCCCCCGTCCCCATCTCTTCTCCACCCCCGCCATCCCACTTCCAAAAACCCCCTCCTACTCTCCCTTTCTCGTTCATACTCCCGTCTGTGTATACCACTCCCGCCCCCTGTGTCACCCAGAAGACCGAGGACTCCCACTCCTCCGCCCCCCTCCTTTGCGACCTTCCCTGTTAACTTCTTCGACCTCTACCTTGGCACACCTCCCTCCCCATGACACCTCGTCCACTCCCTCTGGCATGACGAAGCTGACTGTGCTCTGCACCCTCCCTGCCACCGATTGCACACCCGATAAAAAAAACATGCCAACAGGGAGTGAGTTGATGTTAGAGAGTTTGATGTATAGTAGTTAGTCGCCGCTGTCAGTTATTTTAACTGTAACACCAATACCACCAATAATTGCAGTAATTGAAGTATGAAAACGTCTTTATCAAAGCAATAAAGCATGCGGTTGCTGCAGTATCGCGGTAACGCTATTCACGAAGGGAGGAGATAAAGATACCATCAAGTCTATTGAGTAAGCAGTCGCAAGCTGAGGAGGTTGAGATACACGAGAGACATAGCGTAACAATCATATGCAAGGTTAACAATCATGCGTACCGTAAGAAGGTAACGAAACAGTCAAAGATAATTGAAATACAAGTAAGCAACTGTAGTGTTCGCATCGGTGTGAGCTGAGTCTGTGTAAGCCTTAACAAGATTCCTTTGACCCTACTATAAACTCACTCAGGAACTGAGTAGTAGTTGTACATTATCACACCCACTCAGTCACGCCGCACATACAACCCGACCCGGCTCACTCGTCAGCCGAGTAGTAGTTGTACATTATCACACCGACTCAGTTACGCCGTACATACAACTCATACCGGCTCACTCGGCAGCCGAGTCGGGTACGTTTTACGGCGTGACAAACCGACCCGAAAGGTGGTGCGGCAAAGCACCGGAGAACTGGGAGCATATAAAAAATGATTGTCAGACATGGAAAAGAAAGATCAAAAAAGGGGCGGAGGGAATAAGACAGACCGATAAAGACACGAACTTGTTGGAGATTCTGGAGTGGGCAGGGGAGGAGTAGAGGTTCT